TGCACTCTCTCTCGCTGTGCACTCTCTCTCTCTCTTTCTCTCACTGCACACACACACTCTCTCTCTCTCTCTCTCTCTCACTTTCTCTCTCTCACGCAGTCTTCTCTCTCTTTCTCTCTCTCATGCAGTCTTCCCTTTCTCTCCCACTCAGTCCACATACCTACAGTGTCTGGTTGATTACTGGTAGGGCATCCCCCATTGGTCCAACAGGAAAGCGGCCGTGAAGCATTTCAAAGAGAAGCAGGGAAAAGAGAGAAAAGGAAGGGAGAAAACAAAATAAAATTAAAAATGAAAGGTGACTAATCTGCACTTGTCCTTTCCAGTCAGGGAGCGGTGCAGCGTCGTGCTATTCTCGAAGCCAGGGGCATTTTCGTAATTTATCTCTAGGTCATCGCTGAATAGCTGAAGCAATCGCAATCGAACTTCCGGTTTCTACTGAGTTCTGGTCTCTCCTTCATGGGTGCACACCCATGGCTGTCACATCCATGGTAGCATCAGCGAACTGCGTTCACACTGGTCGCCTCCCCTTGTGCGCCCCGTTCTCCCTCTGGTCTTCCCCCTGGTCCCGTGACTCTGCTGCCCGTTGTAACAGCAGGCCACTTGGTACGCCTGGCACACTGTCCCCAAGCGGACTCGAGCTCTCCTGTTCGATCCCATGAGTGGACTGCGTACACCTGGCGCACTGTCCCCAACTCCTTCCATTCTCCCCCATATATCCCAGGCACTGCCTCTAAAGAACGTCAAGTCCCCCCCCGACTTTTCCAATGGGAGGCCCGGTACTATAACACATACCSCAGTCGCGGCGGCAGCCTCGGGCCAGTAGTACCATCGTAGCCCCGCTTAACCGGACCCCCGGACTTTGCGGTGTAGCAGACTCCAAAAAATAGACGCCGCGGTGCGTACCCCAACAGAACCGGAGCCGTACCAACTCGGAAATCGAGGGGCGCCATGCAATAATGTCCCCCCATGATGGTACCGCACAGGCAAACGGTGGATCCACAATAATGTCGTACTTGAAATAGTTTGGCGTGTCGCCGCCAAACATGAAGTAGTCACGCCGTAGGGGCACCCGCAGGGGTACCGAAGCGGTATTAGCATGCCGTGGTCGAGCCAACCCTGAAATAATTCACCGCATGGGTTCCGAACCTGAAGTAAATCGTTGCAGTGGTCCCGGACCTGAAAATAAATGACCGGAGAGGTCTCGAACCTGAAATAAGCCGTCGTTACGGTGTCGAGCCTGAAACGAAACTCCGCGATGCCACCGAATCTGACCAAACCCGCAATCCAGTACCGGGCTGCTGTGCCACGCGGATGCCGAACCCGTACAACCACGCCATGATAATTCCGTACCTGTCCCGAACGTGATATAGAATGCCGCGAC